AAAAAAAAAAAAAGCTTAAATTCAACAATCTCTTAAAGTCTTACTAAACTTTTCGAAAAAAAAAAGGTCTTACTAAACACACTTAATTTGTACATATTTTAACGTTTCTTGCAGAGTTTTAAAGAAAAAGTCAAAAGTCAATAACTATATAAAAAGAGCCATTATAGTGACACGAGCCAATTATGGATGCATGGCCATAAAAAAGTCATAAAATTAAGCTAAAAAAGGTTCTAAGTCAACAAATGATACATTGCCCAATTATGTATCCATTGTTAAATTTATCTGATTTTATAACCTTGCCCTGACTTGTTCAAAGAACATGATCAGCTCGACTTATAACACTAAAAGACTTATGTTTTGCCAGTTATTCAATAATTCAGCTAATTGTTTCACATTCTCAACACGAAGTACTAACCAAGCTGCACTTAAAAATGGAGAGCCTCGAAAAAAAGCTACAAGAAGCAGCTTTGACGGGGAACGTCGATTTACTGCAGACTCTACTGAACGAAGACCCGATAATTCTCGACAGAGTTTCGTTGAACCATTCATCCGAAACTCCTCTGCATGTAGCGGCCATTTTAGGCCATGTCGATTTTGCAAAGGAAGTCATAAGGATAAAGCCTCATCTCACGAGCGAGGTCAACTCACAGCAATCGACTCCTCTGCATCTGGCATCTGGTAAAGGGCACGTCGACGTAGTACGGGCCTTGATAAGTGTTGACCCTGACTCATGCACGGCCCGTGACAAGAACGGGCTCACGCCTCTTCATTTGGCAGCTGTCAAAGGCCGGGTCGAGGTGCTGAAAGTGCTGCTTGAGGCGAAAGCCGATGCGGCCCGACTTAGAGCGTATAGAGGAGAAACTGTCTTGCATTTGTGCGTAAGATATTACCAGTTGGAGGCTTTGAAGCTTCTTGTGAGGGCTATTGAGGGGCCCGAATTGGTGAACGCTAGAGATGATGATGGAAATACTGTCCTGCATTTAGCTGTGGCGGATAAGCAAGTTGAGGTATATTTATTTGGCTATTAAACTCCTTTGGATTTTGACTCTGTTTTAGTTATTAATCTTTAGCTAATAAAATTTTCTAGTGGGATTTTCACTGATATTCCAATGATATAACTTCCAACACATTGTAAATTAATATATAGACGGTCGATTTCTTGACGAGTGTTCGCGGACTGGAAGTGAACGCGCCAAACCTCAACCGAATGACGCCGTCCGATATCCTAATCCGAACAAAAACGGACCCTCTTAGGGACCCGCAAATTCAAGAATGCCTCGGAAAAGGCCCCACGCCCGCCGCTCGAAACCCATCGGGCGGGACCCGGGCGGTGCAGCACGAGCACTGGCTAGAGCAAAAGCGGAGCTCCCTAATGGTGGTGGCCTCCCTTATTGCGACCATGGCTTTCCAGGTCGGGGTGAACCCCCCGAGCGGGGTGTGGCAGGACGACGGTGGGCCCCACGTGGCCGGGTACGCCATACTGGCACGCAACTACCCGAGGTCTTACGTGAGGTTCTATGGGGTCAACACGACGGGCCTCGTAGCCTCCCTAAGCATCATATTGCTGCTCGTGAGCGGGCTGCCCCTGCGTCGAAGGCTCTTTGTGTGGGTCCTCATGGTGATGACATGGGTCGCCATCACGGCGGTCGCGCTGGCATACGTGTTTGCCATATTTGCGCTCACACCAACTGAGCAAGAGACGTCTATCCTCTACGTGGTGGGATGGTATGTCATCGTGTGGGCCGTCCTCATGGCCCTGCTCCTCATCAGCCACACCCTTCGACTGATGGTCAAGCTGTCGGGCGCCCTGCGCCCGACTAGAAGAAGGATGATGCTCGCGCCGCAGGCTGTTTAATTTTTGATGTTTGAGCGTTAATCAACTTGGACACTGTTTCTGTATCTCTGGTTCAATAACTCATGAAAGAGATAGATTGAATCAGGGAAGTATGGTTTGCATAAGTTTGCATTATTGGCCTTCACTTTATGTCATCTTATTTTCCTTGTTTTCAAATCAAGAGATAATTTCCAGTTGAATGTACCAATTCTAATAGATCAAAAAGTTGCAAATATTGACAACTATTTCACAAAGATCCTTGAACTCCCTATTAGCCTGCAACAACTTTATATTCGCCTCGAGCTCGATCCATGGTGGCCCGGCTAGTACAACATCGCACGAACGAACCTGGCCGGCCGCCATCATCGTGTACCTTTTAACGTGATCCATATCTTCCCGAGTTAAGTATGTCTTGATTGTTTTGAGTTGCTTCATAACATTTGTGTAACTCTTTCCACAATTTTTATACTTCTTTTTAAGCTCAAGTTTAGCCTTCGGCATGCCATGAAGGCGTTCCTGAAACAAGGTGACTGTTCTCTCGGCATTCGATTTCGCTGTGCTTATCAGGTTCGTTGCAAGCACGGACAACGGTCTGTGGAGAAGTCGAGTGCCTTTTAACGGGTTTAGGTTGTTTGCACAGAGAGACGGGTTTCTTGTTTTCGAGCAAATGTCTTGGATGAGCTTTTGTGTTACACTCTCATTTTTGTCTGGAAGGGTGGAGGTATTGTCTGATAGGTATAGGAGTATGAATATAAGCGAGATTGCTCTGAGAAAGTACGATGATGACATTGTTGAGTGTCAGATTATTTGTGGCAATGTGAAAAATGCGTGAGTTCCTGCTTAAATTGTTCTATTCCATTAGTAACAAAGGGAAAAATAAAAAGAAAATATGTTGTGTAGAATGGTAAAGAGTATTTCATGGAAAATGTGTTATGACTTGTTAAAATAGTTATGACCAAGGAGATACAAAATCTGCCTTGTTAAAATAGCATCCGTTAGGTTTTATTGCAAAAGGTCCATATATCTTTACATGAGATGCTACCGTATTGTTACGGAACCATTCCGTCGGGGTTGTAGCCGTTAGATCAACTATCTCCGACGGTTACATGATGACGGTTACAAATCCTGACAAAATGGTACCGCACCGGGACCATAGCATTTCTCAATCTTTATAATTCGGAAGTAAATAAACAATTTGTATTTTAATTTTTAATAACTCGTAATTTTATCACTCTTGTATATAACTCTCGAATGTGCTGAGTCTAAGTGGTAGACTCGCATGATTCTGAATCCTATATGACAAAATTTTATGCTTTATTATTTGATTTGGATGAATTTTAATGTGCTTTCTATCCAAAAAGTAATTAGGTTCGGATATTCATATATATGTTGATTATTTATGGTCATTTTAAATGTAATAATTGTATTTTAATATCAATGGCTATTATAATTATTGAATTGCAGATGTATTTTAAAATTTGATAAGTCTTGTATTTCTTATCGGTTTTACATATATAATACATCAAATTAATTACCTTTCGATTAGCTTCTATTTGACATCCATATTGTATGTATAAAATAAATAAATTATATTTATTTTTATAATAATAATAATAAAATTATTTATCAATTCATATATTTATGTTTAAAGTAGTTATATGGTATAAGTTAGAAAAATTATTATAATATAACACTGGTAAGTCCCACAAAAAATAAGTGTCATTCTAATATATAATAATATATTTTTTGTAAAAAATTATTTAAATTTTTTAAAATAATTTTTTTCATTAATTTTAAAATTTAAGAATATATTTTTTAACAAGCACCCGTGTAATACACACCCGTGTGTTGTATTAGATGTATTTGCTGAAATAACGTTCTTGAATATGGCGAGGTAGCCATGTACGATTGTATATATTTCGTTGAGTTATAAATCTTTTCGTTTCGAAAAAAAAATAATAATAATAATTTCAATTCACAAAAATTAAAAAATATATTGTGAAGGAGGCGGAAAATAAATGTGTTCAATTGGCTAATCGGGTCAATTTCCGAACTAAATGACTAGAGATTGCAAAGTTACCGCCACAAGACTACCGACAGCCTCGCCGCTGTCGGCGTATTCCCGACGGACAACAATTTCATCGGTACAAGCATACAGCACCGAACGCCGTCGTACAATGTATCACTCGTGCTTCATTTGCTAGAGCCAACGACCCCGTCTTTGAGGAGCCGCACCAACCGATTTGACGGCCATCGGTATTTCATATTTGTACTCCGCCCCCAAATTGAAATACCGTCGGTAAGTATATTGGGTTAACGACGCCGTTTCTTACTAATCGCACCAACCGATTTGACGGCCATCGGTATTTGCACTCAGCCCTGTACAGAAATACCGCCGGTAAGTATTGACCCACATTTGTTCTGGATTTTGGGTTATTTTTGCCGAAGGAAATTACTCGCCGGCGATCGGCATCTCAGAAAACCGCCGGCAAGCTTGCCGCCAAACGACTGACGGTTTACCGACCACCAGCAACAATGGGCAAGTTATAATTTCGTGTAAACCGACGTAATTCTGTCGGTAGCTACCGACGGGTCTGATCCTCGGTAAATAAATCGCTAGGGTTTTTCTACTCTTTTTCATTCATCTTCCAAAATTTCATATATCGGTACTCATAAATTCATACTTGTAAGGATACATGTTGAGAGTACATTGAATGCACTTAAACATTGAACTGCCAAAAGTTCCATTATTAATTTCCTCACACTGTCATCATCTACTTCCTGCCCTTCAAGGCATTACATATGACCAACAAGATGCCATTAAGGTTGTAAAACTTTTGATTATCCTCTGAAAGTCCCGACTTGTCCTGCCACGCCTAGTCAGCGCCTGGTTGCACGAATCGACTGCTGACGAGGCACCCTTAGCAAGCTCTCTCACCTGTTTCACCTTGACATTTTGCACGCTCTTTTCGGCTCTGATCAGCAGGTCCATTGCCAGAGTGTACTCGGTCTGGCATTTGTTATAAGCCTGCCGCAGTGCCGAAAAATTGATTGGGTTCCGAGTGGTTTCTTGGGCCCACACGATCTTCTTCAGGTTTGACTTGACGAGCTCCATCTCGGTCGAAAGGATGCGGGCACCAGGGGATCGGGAAAGAGGGTTCTTCCTTTGAACTCGGAGAGGATGTGTTGGCAGAGGTTGAAGTCCCTTGTTTGGTAGCAAATGTTGCGGATGATGTCATCGGTCACTAAGATGACTAACGGGCGCTTAATGAGTCCGAGGTTAGTATTGTTAATGGTTTCATTTTTTGAGCCATTGGTTGGGGTTGATATTGCTGTTAGGAATAGAAGGAAGAACAAAAACGAATTGAGCATGGAGAGTTTGTTCATTTTCTTGAACTTCTCTGGGTAGGGAGTATGGTTTTCGGAGTATGATTTTAGGAGGAATATATAGGTGAAATTGGACAAGAAGTGGAACAATGTATTGATGAATGATTTATTACAGTGAAATCCGAGATTTGCTTTTATTTATGTGATTTGGGTTATGTGTAATGCATGCTTAGCTCCTTTAGCTTGAGATACTTATCTCAATACTTGTATCAGATGAGCCTATTGAAATCTCACTGATCTGCAATTTTTATACAATATGAGCTTGTTTAATATGTGTGTGTGTGTGTGTGTCGGAGTGTTTTGTTTCTTCTCAAATGGGAGAGTCATCTTAGCATTTGTTAAAGTTGGAAGAGATGATATTGATATTGATTTATTTTATTAGAACAAGTCTATCTAAGATATTTCATCATATATCCAGAAAAATTTATACTTTCGTTTTATTATTCGTCCATTTCACTTTCCATCATTCACCACTTTCATCAGGCCCGACAGAAAGAGAAAAGTAAAATTCTGTCTATGATATTTCGTCACATATTCCCAATATGACACTGCCAATATTTTGGAACCTGCGGTTCTCACTGGTAAGGCCCGAAACCTCGTTCCTTTGTTTAGCCAATTCTGTGGTGCAAGACTGAACATCGGATATGGCAGTCAAAATGTGTTTTTTGATGGATGCTATGTTTAGTTTAGTTCTGAGTGACCCTTCGTTAGCTGCGTTTAGTTGAGTGAGAGCATCCTCGTAATTCTTGATACACTTATGGTACCTCAATCTAAGCTCGGATACGTTTTCTTTGATTCCTTTGTGAAGCCTTGAAATCTTGCCTTTCGTGATTTGAGCATGTTTTCTTGCTAGCACAATAATGCTTGGTAGAGTTGTTGGAACAAGAGGACTGTGTTTGAATTTTACCAGGATTTGCCAGCAAATTGGAGGGTATTCTGTTTTCGGGTCAAACCTTGTCCATTAGCGCATCTGTAACGGTTTTAGGGTTTTGTTTGTTTGAAACAGTTTTAGGGGCTTTGTTGTTTGTGAGATTAATGACTGTGTTCGCCTGAGATTTTGTTCTAAGTATGAGAATAAACAAGAATGATATAGTGAATCTAATAAGAGAGAGCTTCATTGTTTCAAATTTTCCTGGACAGAGGATATGTGAAAAATATGTTTGTAGTGACCAATGTATGTGGAAAGCTGTGGTGTGTGGGTTTTTATAGGTGTACTTTTGACTTTGTGTTCATCAGGAAGAAAGAAAATGGATGGAAACTGTATTGATGAAGAAGTTATGAAGTTTAAATCTGTTTGAGTAACTTTTGATTTGATAGGAAATTAGTGTAAATGACACAGTGAAATGAATTAATCCTCATTTCCCAACTTGTCTAATCAGATTTATCATTAATTTAAAACTCGAACTGAGAAAGTGACAAATGAAAGTAACTGAAATTATAGGGAGATATTACGGTCACGTTACAGAACCATTCCGTCGGGGTTTGTAACCGTTAGATCAACTATACCCGACGGTTACATGATGATCTAACGGTTAAAAAGCCCGACGGAATGGTTCCGTAATGGGACTGTAGCATTTCTCGAAATTATATGTTGATAATTGTAAGAGGATATATTTAATTGAAACTCGGATAAACTTTTTGAAGGGAGTGACTTTTGTGGACTATAGACTTTTTAAAACTTTTTAAACGGAGTAACTTTTGTAGATTTTGTAGAACGTTAATGACTTTGGTGGATTTTGTAAAATGTTAAAAATTTGTGATGAAAATAAATAAATTATACAAGCAGATAATGATTAAAATAACAGGATATAAAAGTGATATAAGATATATAGTTGTGTATATTAAAGAAAAGAGGAATTGAAGAGAGTGGTCCATCAAAATCCCAATTTGATGAGATTTCTACTAGGACTTTGTCTTTGTATTTTTATTAAAAAAAAATCTCCAAAAGTCTTCATACATTAAATATCGGATGACTTATAGAGACTCTTCAGACTTTAGAGATTTATAAAAAGCATTTAAAAGTCTCAAAAATTTAAATTGAATATACCAAAAATTTTAAAAGTTTTAAAGAGTATTGAGTTTCAATTGAATACACCCTTAATAGATTTCATCTCTTTTGTATCCTACTTAAATATGGTGTGTCAAACTGCTATAAGGGTATTATAATTAGAAACTGAATATAAGGTTGCAATAAGTGTGTTTCAGAAGTATTTAATGTATTTTTTTTATATATAATTTTTGTTCTTGCAGCTTATTGATATCGGTCGTCTCTCTCTCATTCGACTACAACATGAGCAACGAAGCGCTAATTAACATCACTAGAAATTCGACCATTCGATATTTGATCACATAAGAAGACGATGATGCTACCAAGGTCATGTAACTTCCCGATATCACCAGCTACGTTAGATGGCTCGTTTTCCTGACGAGACAATTCTTTGTTGCAGGACTGAGCCTCAGACATTGCATCGGAAACGAATTTCTTGACGAATCCCGTGTTTTTGGGGTTTTTCGTGAATGACTTGTTTGCTCCTTCGAGTCGGTTGGCAGCTTTCTTGTATCTCTCCAAGCACTTGCGATAGCTCGATTTGAGTTCGGAATTCCTGTCCTTAATATTTTCATCAAGTCGGAAAATGTTGTCCCTTGTCGTTTGAGCCTGGTGCTTTGCTGTCCCTATCAAACCTGCAAAGGTTGTAGGGATGAAGCTTTTGCCTTGGTATTGGCTTAGAGTGTGCATGCAAAAAGATGGGTTTCTTGTTTGAGGGCAAATCTTGTTGATATTTGCTTCTGTGACTATTGTGTGGAGTTTGCTGTTTGTGAGGTTAATTGTGGAGTTGTTGTGAGAATTATTTGTTTGAGATTTTGTGAGGATTATAAGAAAAAACAAGAATGTGGAGATAAGTAAAAACGACTCTTCATCATGTTCCGATGAATCCTCGGATTTTAATTCATCATGTTCCTATGAATCCACGGATTGTTTTTTTTTTTTCTTCTTGCTGAAAATATCTAGATGAGATGTGTCTAGCTTGGTTCTTTCTTGAATGTGAGAGTTATCTTGCACGTTTATAAATTTTTAGTAAATGTGTGATGGGTTTTCTACTTTCATCTTCAAAGGGTTAAATGATTGTATTACTGTAAGTTTTAGCTCATCGATGATGGCCTTTCCCCTTTACATCGTTCACCGTTTATTATCTTCATTTAAATGAAACTATCTAAGATGTTTCATTACATATGCCCACTATGAGTCTATGACACTTCCAATATCTTGGAACTTGCGGTTATCACTGGTAAGGGCGCCCGAAGGCTCATTGTGTTTCGCCAATTCCATTGTGCAAGATCGAACATCGGATATTGCCATCAAAGCATGCTGTTTGATGGGTCCTCAGTGTCGATAGTCCCTTGAACCGTAAATAGCTCTATTCAATTGACCCAGAGCATCCGCGTAATTCTTGATACACTTTTGGTACCTCAATTTTAATTCGGGTTTGTTTTCTTTGGTTTCTTTGTGAAGGCTCGAAATCTTGTCTTTGGTCGTTTGTACGTGGTGTTTTGCCATCCCGATTATGTTAGTTAGAGTTGTTGGAATAATGGGCTTGCCTTTGAACCGGCCCAGGTGGTGCATGCAAAGGGCAGGGTTTCCGGTTTTCGGGCAAATCCTGTGGATTAGTGCATCGGTTACTAATTCAGGGGCTTTGTTGTTTGTAAGAGTAATGCTTGAGTTTTTAGAAGTGTGGGCATGAGATACTGTGCGGAGTATGAGAAAATACAAGAGTATTGATGTATTCATTGTCTTCTAGTTTTCTAGGTTGTGTTTTTGTAGTGATTGAAAAAATTGTCTCGTGTTTTGGCTTTATAAGTAGGCATAGATATCTGTTTTCTTTTGTTTATTTTTTTTTTTTCTTTTTGCAGTAGGGACAAAATGGCAAATTATATATTTTTTTTTTGTTTTTTTTCGACTGGTGGTATCCCCACATTCATCCGGGGTCTCACCTCAAACTCCTAGACCACGCCGAGCCCTACCCAGGGGGTGTGATGCCGTACAAGCTATGGCACTAACAGGCTATGTGGCTCCACGCCCGGAGGGGCGGGACTAATCCACCCAGAATAATAGCAGTGTCTCACCCACTATTATCACGGTAGTCGGGATCCATCCCCTGACCTCTGACTTCTTGGGAAACTTATCCTATGACTGCATTAACACTAATGCATTAATTGGAAAAATTTTGTAAAATGAAAGATTTAAGATGAATTCATCCAATTTGTGTATATCAAAATTAGTGTAAATACGGATCAACTATTTTTCCTCAAGTAATTTGAATGCATCTTCATTGAATCATGGGGAAACACTACAATCCCGTGAGGGAATGATTCCCTCAAATCAATATAAATCATTAGATGTGTTAGTTTTTATATGGACTCTTACATGTGGTAGTTTTTATATGGACTCTTACATGTGTTAGTTTTTTATTGGAGTTTGATATGAGGGAATGGTCCCATTACGGGATTGTAGTATTTTCCTGAATCGTGAAGGATTTATTTAATTATTAACGTTCGTGAAACAAAAATAGTGGAATGACCTCATGAAGTGTCATTTCCTCTAAAATCTTGTGCAAAAAGACCATTTTAATATTGTAAGAAACGGGGAAAACGGGTGGGGTTCCACGTACTTGAAACGCACCATAACAGAAAAAACTCAGATGAAGCGCAATAAACGATCTGAGATACGATATAAGAAACGGTGGCAAAAGTGAACCCAGATGAAACACAAGTGAGGTTCCATCCCAAAACTAACTGATGTAGGGAAGCATACGAGTGGGACGATATTAATGAGATCTCAATCTCAAGAACATCAAAGAACGATATAATTCATATTTTATTCATAAACAACCATCTCATAACAAAGTAGAAGAGCCCTTTAAATAAGACTCCTAACTCTAGAGCTTAACTTGTCCAACAAGACAAGATCTCTTATTAATATTAAACAATAATATTAAATCCTAGCTTATTCTCTAAGACACCTATTAGATATAATAATAATAATAATA